TGGGTAAATTTAAGAAAACTGTAAATGCAGGCACTTTATATTACAGGCCTTTGACTGTTTATTAAATAATATCATCATTATCAAAAAAGTCATTTTTAAATAATGGGCAATATCTAATAACTATGATAACTTGTTTTGCTGAAAATCAGCAATGGTTTCCCCCAAAACAGCAGCAGCCACTGTGGTCTGGCAGTTCCAGTGGCAGTTGATATTGCCACAAATTGGTAAAATAAATAAAAATAATGTCCTGATGCATCTCAGTAATCCAGGTAGAAAAAAATCAAAAAAAAAAAATCAGTAGGTCCTCTGGATGGTTCTTCTTTAGTGAAACGTTTCGTCTCTCCTCCAAGAGACTTCTTCAGTCTGATGAGTTTCAGGTGAACTCAGCCTTATAAGCTCCGCCTCCACATGGTGGACAAACAGGTTAGTCACATACGAAAGAGGACCGTCGACTAACAATAGGCTTGATTAGCTAGTCGATGGTCCTCTTTTGCATGTGACTAACCTGTTTGTCCACCATGTGGAGGCGGAGCTTATAAGGCTGAGTTCACCTGAAACTCATCAGACTGAAGAAGTCTCTTGGAGGAGAGACGAAACGTTTCACTAAAGAAGAACCATCCAGAGGAACTTCTGTTTTTTTTATTTTTTATTTTTTCTACCTGGATTACTGAGATGCATCAGGACGTTTTAAAAAAAGTTCATTATTTTGAAAAATGTCAAAGTTTCAAAGACCAAACATCACAGCACACTGTTCCTGATCCTTCTGAACATTTTTATACATAAATGGTTGAAAGAGTACAAAGCTATGAGGCTATGTTGATTGACAATTTGATTTAAAAAATATAGAGAAGAAACGAGTCATCTATCCATTTTAACTGACTCAGCATTCACACAGTGAAGATAAATAATAAAAAAGTAAACTTACCAGGTGAACATACGGTACAAAGTATCCATAGAGGGCTGCTGGTATACCAAATGCCCAGATGCGATATCCCACAGACTTCCAGATGTTCCTGTTGAAGATCTTGCTCATGCGCAACTTTCCTGATTGTGAACTGGAGGGTTTGGTGGGCAGCAGAGGTCTATAGGTGAAGCCAGCCAGCATCAACACAAACATGAAGATGCAGAGGATGCGCATGGTGTTCTGCAGGCCCACCTTGTCAAGCAGGCTGGACAGGAGGAAGGGCAGGGTGATGGTGAAGATGCTGCTGCCGGCCGTCACTATGCCGTTCACCAGACCCAGGCGCTTTTTAAAGTAGTGACCCAGGATGACCAGACTGGGCTGGTAGGCAAACGAGCAGCCGCAGGCAAACACGATGCCGTAGGTGAAGTACATGACCCCAAGAGATCTAAAGGAAGGAAATTACAAGTCAGTCTTTGGACATTAACATCTGTAAAGAGCTAATCCATGAAGGGGAGTTTCACAGCATTTTCTTAATAAGTAATATCTTAAGGGATCACCAATTAGTTGTAACATTAGACTTTATTTAATAAACATTTATTTTAACTGTAAAATAAAGACTGTAAAAATACTGTAGGATGTTTAGTTTTGTAAATTTTATACTAAAAGTTTAACTATATATTTTAACACGGACGAGACCATTTTATTTGCACACAAAGCATTCTGGGTAAATGACCACACAGTTTCCACTTTGTTTATTTCCCACATCTCTGCCCTGGAGAAAAGGCTAGCCACGACACTATGTTCCCCAGTACCTATGTTCCCCAGTACCTATGTTCACCTATACCTATGTTCACCAGAACCTATGTTCACCAGTACCTATGTTCACCAGTACCTATGTTCACCAGTACCTATGTTCCCCAGTACCTATGTTCACCAGTACCTATGTTTCAGAGTACCTATGTTCCCCAGTACCTATGTTCCCCAGTACCTATGTTCACCTGTACCTATGTTCACCAGTACCTATGTTCACCAGTACCTATGTTCACCAGTACCTATGTTCCCCAGTACCTATTTTCCCCAGTACCTATGTTCACCAGTACCTATGATCCCCAGTACCTATGTTTACCAGTACCTATGTTTCAGAGTACCTATGTTCACATGTACCTATGTTCACCAGTACCTATGTTCCCCAGTACTTATGTTCCCCAGTACCTATGTTCCCCAGTACCTATGATCCCCAGTACCTATGTTCACATGTACCTATGTTCACCAGTACCTATGTTCCCCAGTACCTATGTTCCCCAGTACCTATGTTCACCTATACCTATGTTCACCAGAACCTATGTTCACCAGTACCTATGATCACCAGTACCTATGTTCCCCAGTACCTATGTTCCCCAGTACCTATGTTCACCTATACCTATGTTCACCAGAACCTATGTTCACCAGTACCTATGTTCACCAGTACCTATGTTCACCAGTACCTAGTATGTTCCCATACCTATGTTCACCAGTACCTATG